TTTCAAGTGTTAACAAAAAACATAAGAGCAAAACATAATTCAAGAATTTATATCATATTTATTTCCCATAAGAATATTATACAAATTATTTATTACATAACGTGTTGTATATAATTATATACAACAATAATGTATGCAATTCTTATGTGAATTTTAATTAAGCTATTTGTTGTTTAATGTCTGTCAGAAATGGGAAACAATTTTTATATAAATGTGTTTTATTTATATTAAAGGGAAGGAAAAACAACATAAAAAATATATATGAAAATTGTTTGCAAAGTTATGAATTAATAAAGATTTGCGTTTTAAGTTTCCCGTGAAATAAAAACAAAAAATGTATTATTTTTTCCACTATTTTTGCCCCTTAAATAAAGTTGTGTTTAAGAAATTGGATTTTTTAATAACTAAACCTTTAGTTATATTTTGTATTTCACATCATTTAAGAGATTATATTTCAGTAGAAAATTGAAGAGAAAAACACCAAATGATTGCTAAAAATATCGTTTAAAATAATAGAGAAATACTATTATAAATGTAATAATAGTATAAAATAAAAAATTATAGATTAAAATATGTGAAAATATAGCAAAAACACAGATTTTCTTATTTCTCGGTTCATATCTGTGTATAAACACACAGAATATTCTTTAATGCAAACACATTAAGCCTAACATAACTTCATAAAAACATATAGAACTCGGGCTAAAATCCATTGACCATTAATATTGTATACTAATATACAACTAGCGATAAAAATTAATACATCAGCAAAATAACAATCAAAAACTGCTAGCTATAAATGAATTGTTTTTTCAACCCTAATGTTTAGGACTCACACACATATATGTCTGGACGAATGGCACGGAATTAGCATCACATCAATCATTAATATATATTATATAAGGGAAGGCAATGGACTGACTGTTGATATTCAATGAGCGCCGACACCGTATTTGACCCAAAAGTTGATTCCTTATGATTATTATTACATAACAATAACTGTCGTTATTGTTATCGCTTGTCATTCATTAATATTCCCACTCCGACGACGACAACAACACCATTATTACTAACCAGTGCTCCGCCGGTCGAGACATACATAAAATATAATAAATGATGTCAACGATCAAGCATTTAGTGGTGCATTGGTTTCACACCGTATCGGCCATCATATTCATCCATTTGGGCTCATGTGTCACGCCGTCGCTCATACCGGAGCTCATTAACGACAGCCACGGCCACAGGCAGACCAACTGGACCAACACTATCGCCTGTCCCAAACAGTGTGTCTGTTCACTACAGCTATCTATTTATGTATGTAAATCTTCATTAACCAAATGAAATGTTTATATACAGTATTTAGCAGTCATTTAGCGTTTAATTTACTTAATAACACTATTCGTGGACTTAATTTTGGTATTATATCACTAACAACTCTCTCTCTCTCTCTCTCTCTCTCTCTCTCTCTCTCTCTCTCAATGTTTATCCATTTGGCTCATCACATATACCGGTGCTCTACAACACTATCATTGATGCCTATCAATAGTCAGGAGAGTTGGTTCAGGCGGTGAACTGTTCATTTCAGTCGATGAACTCAATGCCCAAATCAATACCACTGGACACGGAATCGCTGGGCTTAACGTATAATCTAATTGAGGATCTCTATGAAAAGTTCCCGGCCTTCGACCGGCTCCAGGAGCTATACTTATCGCACAATCAGATCAATCACCTAGGTCGTGGCCAAACGTTTTACAACTTGACCCATCTCAAATTGCTGGACATTTCGCATAATAAATTTCGTACCCTATTTGCGGACGTGTTTCGCGGTCTTAAGCGGCTGGAAGTGCTGGACCTGAGCAACGGTCACATCAAGTATATCGATGAACACGCCTTCGACGGCCTGGAGATGCTTAAGGAGCTGAACATCGAGAACAATCAACTCTCGTCCATATATTTAGAGTTGTTTCAAAGTATACTCAATCTTAGCGTAAGTTTTGTTTTGATGTCATTTTATTTGATGTCTGAAAAGTTTTTTATTTTATTTTTTGTGTGCATTTTATGTTTGTTTTTTTTTGTTGATAAATATATTCAATACTTTTAGTGAGTGAATGGTTAGCGAGAAGTATAATATAGTTTTTTCCACTTACTCTCAAAGAGTAGTAGTTGTCATTTGTGATGATATTATTCCCAAATGATTGGTTATATACCTTCAAAAAGCTAACTGTCCCTTAAATACACGGCACTTACAGCATATGTATATTCAGTCATTAATCTATATTTGGAAATATAGTATAGGTTTTGATAAAGAAAAAACAATTTGATAAATTTATGCACACTTTTTTGAAGTATTCAGTAGTAAATAAAGCCATAAATTCTT